AGCTCCATATGCTCACCTCTACAAAACCTAGCCAAATTTCTCGCCAAACAACTACAGCCCTATGCAGAATCCATCACCTCACACGTAAAAAAACTCATTCCACTTTATAGAGATCATAAAGAAACAAAACTTACAGCCCAGCGACCTACTCGTGAGCTTTGATGTCATATCCCTCTTCACCCAAGTGCCTATCAAAGAAGCCTTGACAGCTATCCACAACAAATATAACCCCCAAACACATCTTAGATCTGACCAACCACTGCTATCCAACACATACTTCATCTATAATGGACAAAAATACAAACAAACAGAGAAGCACCCATGGATCACCCCTCTCACCTGTCATTTGCCAACCTCTACATGAACACTTTGACACCCAGCTCTAGAAAAAAAATCTGGATCGACAAACCCAAACTTCTGGCTCGATACGTAAAACGACACTTCATAATCTGGCCACATGGGAAAGAAAAACTGACAACTTCCTCACACAACCTCATACACCCTACAACCCCAAAATACAGTCACCATGGAAACAGAAGCTAACACCAACTATCCCTTCTGGATGTCTATCTACAAATCCAATGGCTCCCTAGGACACACCATCTACCAGAAGGAAACACACACAAACCGCTATCTGCACGCTCTCTCACACCACCACCCAGCACAGATCAACTCTGTAGCCAAGACACTCATCTCCAGAACAAAACGCTTAACTGACGAACAACACCTAAAAAACTACTAACATCCAATGGATTCCATAGAAATAAGATTACAAACCTAATCCAAAAATAAACCCCCACCAAAATCCAAGACAAAGAACAAGAAAACGGCAAAGCCCTCCTCCCATACATAAAAGGCACCACAGACAGAATCAGTAAGATCCTCCATAAACACAACATCAAAACAGCATTCTGCACAAACAGAAAATTATCCACCATCCTTAGAAACCCCAAAGATAAAATTGAATTAGAAAATCAAGGAGTATACGAAATCCCATGCACCACTTGTCCCACCACATACATTGGACAAACCAATAGAAGAATAAGTGCACGCACTGAAGAACATAAGAACTCAGTCAAAAAAGAGGAACCAACATCTTCCCTGGTCCAACACCTTAAAGCCACAGGACATGAAATTGAATTTAAAAATACCATAACCATTGCCAAAAGTGAACATTTTAATAACAGAATAATCAGAGAAGCCATCGAGATAGAAAAACGCCCACACAGCATGAACAAGCGAGATGATACCTCCCGCCTACCAGCCATTTGGAAACCCGCCCTTATTGACAAACGACTCCCTAATACAAAAATGATACCAGACCCACACTCACAAAAACCACACAGGATGTCACCACCACACATCCACGCAAAAAGCAAACCCAAAGCCACACCGATGATGAGGCACGACCACAAACCAGAAGCCAGACCAGAGCTGCATCATTAGCCACTTTAAAGCCCTCCAATCCATAGATGAAGCAAACTGACACCCTCCATGAAAATGAGGCACGACCACAAACGCGAAGCCAAAAAATAGCAAGGCAGCCCAAAATCTTAAACCCCTCTGCAACTCAGACTAACCTGAGCACAACCAAACAGAACACTCCCCCAGCCAATCAGAGCACAGCCAACCCCCCAGCCAATCAGAGCACAGCCAACCCCCCAGCCAATCAGAGCACAGCCACGCCCCTAACCAATCAGAACACACCTCCACCCAATCAGAACACAGCCAAGCTCCCACCCAATCAGTTCATACCCCCACTGGCAGTTAAAAGGAAGAAACAGCTAAGACCACACATTGCTGCTCGAAGCACGAAGCTGAAAACACCAGCCTGAAGATGACGAATGGGACTTCGTCGAAACGTCGCCAAGACACTTCCAATTTTACGCGGGAGAAAACCCGAACAACCAAAGACCTACATATATATATATATATATATATATATATATATATATATATATATATATATATATATATATATATATATATATATATATATATATATATATACTTCATTTTAGATGTCAAAACCCTTGGTCTGCCAGTCCTCTTCCCCCACTCAGTGTGTGTGTGTGTGAGAGAGAGAGAGAGGCACTTGCGCTTCCTCTCTCCCTTTCCTCTTTCAATCTTTCTCTTTCCTCCCTCCCTTTCGTCTCTCTCCCTCTTTCCCTTTCTTTCCTCTCCCTTTCCTTTCCCTCTTTCTCTTTCCTCTCCCTCTCTTTCCTTTCCCTCTTTCCTCTCCCTTTTCTTTCTCCTCTCTTTCCTCTCCCTCTTTCTTTTTCTTCTCTCCCCCTCTCTCTTCTCTCTCTCTCTCTTTCTTCTCTGTATCTCCTTCCGGAGAAGAAAACTTTATCCAGATTTTATTTAGACGTGACTCTCTCATAAACATAGTGTGAAATCCTCTTTATTTCCTCTCTCTTTCCTCTCCCTTTCTCTCTTTTTCTTCTCTCCCCCTCTCTCTTTGTCTCCTTCTGGAGAGGAAAACTTTATCCAGATCTCATTTAGATGTGACTCTCTCATAAACATAGTGTGAAATCCTTGCCTGAGAGAGAGGGGGGGGGGCTAGGTCTCCACTGAGCGTTATCTCTTCGGCAGCATTACTGGGCCCTATCCACTTTTTTTCATCGGCTCCTAATAGATATGACAGGCGAGAGGGGGGTCTGCTTTGTCTCAGGACTGGCGGAAGGGAAAAGGTGGGCTTTGGGGCTCCTGCCAAGGCCACATGTGAACCCTCCACCCCACCCCGGGGGCTGACAATGTTGATTCTGTCTGCAAGAGAAAATAGCTCTGGACAAGATCAGTTTTCAGCCATTTGCAGGAGCTTCTTCCAGGCCCAGCCAAGTAAGTGGCTCTTTTGCAGATAATCCACCTGCGACCAACAGCCTGGCAGTAGGATGGGATGGATGTCCCCCCGCCACTCCCCAATTAGCATTCTCCCTGCTTAACCAGAAATGGACACAGGTGGTATCGGCTTAACAACCAAAGAAGCGTGGCCGGCTCAGCGGCCAAGAAGCAGCCCAGGGATGGCTCAGGAAGCGATGCCCCCATCGGCTGCCGCCCCAGCTGGACTACCACCCCAGCCCGGGGAGACACGGCCAGCTCAGTTGCCCAGGGAGCAGCCCGGGAACAGCCCAGGAAGCGATGCTTCCACCGGCCCAGCTGGGACTGCTGCCCGGCCCAGGGCGACACATAGCTGGCTTGGGTGCCCAGGGAGCAGCCCAGGGATGGCCCAGGTAGCAATGCCGCCACCCCAGCTGGGACTGCCGCCCAGCCCGGGGCGACGCATGGCCAGCTCAGCGGCCTGGAGAAGGCCCAGGAAGCGATGCTCCCACTGGCTACTGGCCTAGCCAGGACTGCCGCCCAGACCGGGGAGACGCGTGGCTGGCTCAGTTGCCCCTCTGCCTGGTACAGGTAAGCTGGGGGGATGCGCCACTTGCCCTGCGGCCACTTCGTGGCAGTGCTCCGCAGACTTGAAGCCCCCTCCCCCCGCCACTCACCGTCCATCTCCAGCTCTGCTGCTGCTTGGCCAACCAGGGCCACATCTTGCAGGAGGGCTGGCTCACTCAGCAGAGGCTCCAGCAGGCCACTCCCAGCGGAGATTCTGGGGCTTCCCCGCGTGGCTCCTGGCCACGTGCACCTCAGATGGGGCCAGCCCGGGAAAGAGACTTCCTGGCCACCCTTCTCCCAGTGGGTGGGGCACCCAGGCGCAGGGCCAATCAGGAGCTCTGCGAGGGGGCAAGTCTGCATGAGAGAGAAGTGCAAGTGCCTCTCTGTCTCTGCAAATGGCAGAGGAGGCTCCAGAGCCACAGGAGGTGGCTCAAAGAGCTGCAGTTTGCCGACCTGTGGTCTAGTTTAATGAAGAGAAGGACTAGGGGTGACATGATAGCAGTCTTCCGATATCTCAGGGGCTGCCACAAAGAAGAGGGAGTCAAACTATTGTCCAGAGCACCTGAAGGCAGGACAATCTAATGGAAGCTAATCAAAGAGAGAAGCAACCTAGAACTAAGGAGAAATGTGCTGACAGAACAGTGGAACAACCTACTTCCAGAAGTTGTGAATGATCCAACACTGGAAGTTTTTAACAGACTGGGCAGCCATTTGTCTGAAATAGTATAGGGTTTCCTGCCTGAGGTGGACCAGAAAATCTCCAAGGTCCCTTCCAATTCTATTACTACTACTACTACTACTACTACTATAAATTGTAGCTGCTTTAAAAGCAGTAGTTTTACTATAGGTGGAATTACTAAATCTGAGGTGAATTGCATATCTGCTTCCTTAGCAAAAAGGAAGTTGACATTTTGGGGATGTGGTATTCATAAAAAGTATTTTTTAACGTTTCAAAAATAGTTAAACAAGGAGTAGAAATTGTTTCAGAAATTATTTGAGAAGCATGCTGAAAACTGCTTAGCCCTATTAAAATTAAAGCTATGAAGTGGAAAAGATACCCACTGTAATCCACAAGTATGTAAAAAAATATAGAACAAGGAACTTGAATAGCATTCCAAACTAGGAGAAATTCCAAGATCAGCAGGTATGTGTGGAAGATGCTCTTATAGATGCATATTTATATTACCTGTGTTCAGGTCACAGCAGGTGGCAACACCAAGCTGACCTTTATTTAGCTGAATAAAGTTAGATGGGAAAACACTAGGAAATCCTCAGGCTGGAGTTTGAGCTTATTTAATATGCCAAAAAAGGTGTTTTAAATGACATGTTATATGAGCAAGTTCTTGATTCCTAAATTAATCATTATTTTATGCAATAATGCCATAGAGAAGAAAGCTTTTCATAAGTTTAATGCTTCACAGCAGTCTGACAATTCCCATGGACAGCACAGTCCGATATACTATCACATTCAGAAAGCAACAGGATGGAAAAGGCATGCTAATACTGGCCATTCTATCGAAATACTGTTTTTCTTAAGAGGTTTTTTTTTTGTTGTATGGAGACTATACTAAATGGAAATATATCTAATCAAAATGAAACTTTGGACAAATACGAAAGTATAATTGACTTATTTAATGTACTTATATATAAACAAAGTGTAAACCAAAGATTTTTGTTACTTCAGTTGTTTAACTTACTACACAATACTTATTTTAGCTAGATTAAAAAAAACCAAGAACATCCATTTTCCATAGCAGGTTAATTAAACAAGTTCCAAGGAATTTGTTTCATTTTTTAATTTATTGCAAAACTTTAGATAGCATAGTGCATAACAGCTTTATTTTGAGACACAACAATTTATAATCGATCTAATAGGATTATAGGTAATCTTTTTCAAAACACATCCAAGTCTTAAAAGTAATTATCCAGCAAGTTCAACTATTCCTTCCTTTGCTACTCTTTCTATCTCTATTTCTTGTAGGAGATGGACTTCTACTATGACTACATGTCAGGCTCCTGTCGCGATTCCGTCCTCTTTTCTTTTTACTGTGTGACCATTGCCTTCCACGACTGCCTGATTTCTCAGAAACGTGACTTTTCTTATGCTTATGAGATTTTTTTCTTTCAGATTCTCCATTTCTTTTATTGTATGAATAATTGGGACTTTGATTGTTCCTTCTTGATCTGCTATAATGTTCTTCATAGTATTCCAATCTATTTCTTCTTTCAGAGTTTTTATTTGCCTCTTTAGCCCAGTCAGTGCAAATGTGCATATCTCTGTTGGCTTCCCAGAATTCATTATTTGGATTTTTGAATACGTGAAGAAAGTTACAGTGCTTCCCTCTTGGACACTTTTGCCTTTCAAACAAACCTGAAAAAGGATTTATTTTAATAGTTATCGAATTTGAAATCAAGATTATGTTTCCATTCAAATACACTTTGTGATTTATTTGTGTCTGCCAAAATATTACAGGTATAGAAAAAGGCTCTGTGCATGGTTCACCATGCAGATAATCAACTAGGGAACAGAAATATTTAGGTAAAGGTGTTTTCAAAAATGCTAGCTTTTTCCAGAATATCCCATACATAACTGCATATGTCAGAGATATTTCCTTCAGTATACTCAATAATACAGCAGGAGCTAAACATGCTGCATTTCGTCATACTGAGTTACCAGTCCTAGAGAAACTTGCCAATTTAGACCTAGAGAGCCCAAGTCAATGAAAGATTATGGCATGATCTCAGCAATCTGCTGGATGGAAAACTAAGTGCTATAGCAGCAGAAATGAAAATTGTATTTCATCATTTCCTACTCAGTTCAGAAATATTGTTTAGGCAGATTCACTGCAAAAATGCAAAAAACAACCAAACCCCACCCCAAAGACAGAAACCAAGACTCACCGCAAATAGCTGTTTTCCACCTTGTTACTGGACAAAACTCACACTGCAGCTGCCGCCCTGCATACCACCGACCGTTGAATAAAGTGAGAGCTTCCTGACATTCTTGTTCTCTTTAAAAATCAAATTGAGAACATATTGCTAGACTGTCATGAAACTAGCAGTATTAAAACGAGATACCGCAAAGCAAACAGAAAACACCTTGATATGCCTGTCCTACACAAGTAGTCATCGACTTATACCTGCTGTTATGGTCATAACTTATGACAGTGACTAGTTGTAAATCAAGGATTACCTGTGCAGGTAAAGCAAATGGACACTGAATTATCTTAACTTTCTAATGTTTAACAGGAAGGATCACAATACAATTAAAATCCTTTGTGTGATAGGAAATCCTAAAAAAGAACAGTTCCTAGATTTGTGAAGTAGCTCCCATCATATAACCCACTGCAGATCTTGTTTAAAGCACATCAGTTATAGATTAATGCTCAAAACGTGCCACTGACATGCAGAAATATACTTACCTTGATCACAACCGATTAATGCTTTGCCTTAAAGTTTTTTGTAAGATCTTTATTAAGTTTAACAAAAGTTTATTTATTGTTTATTGTTAAACACTTACGACTGATATTGAACATACACATTTCCTCGAAGATGAGGTTCAAAGTTACAGCTCACCTATGTAAAAGATAAAATGTCATTCAAACTATGTATCTGGAAAAATTATCCTCATAGCATTTCCCTTAATTTTGTAAATATGGTTTCTTTGTGTTTATATTTAAACTTTAATCTTACACATATTGTATTGGGAATTAGATGTAGTCAGGGCTTAATTCTGAACAAGGGGCTACATGATAATACATGTTTACAAGCATGCAAAACATTAATTTCATCATCCAATTCAAAGAGCTATAAGCTAGTTCAGTGATGGCGAACCTTTTAGAGTCCGAGTGCCCAAAAACCACCCCTGCCTCCGCTCCGCCTCCCGCCCTGCCTTCCCCCCTGCCCTGCCCACCAAAAAGGCCATACATCACCTCCATGGCCTGCTGCAGCAGATTGCCCAGGCAGCCCTGCAGCGCCATGGCAGCCACGTTCTCCACCCACACCCCACAGCATCATCTGCATGCTATGAGGCAAGGGTGAAGTCTTGTCCATGCTGCCCGGCTATGTCCTTGGCTGCACTGCTCCATGTGGCCATGTCCAGGGGCAACTCTCCTCCAGGGGGGCTGCTGGTGAGGAGGGGGCCGTGGGGGAGGCAGGGCTGGGGCGACGGCACGCATGCCTACAGAGAGGGCTTTGAGTGCCACCTCTGGCACGCGTGCCATAGGTTCACCACCACTGAGCTAGTTGTGTGCTTACTTTTAGCTTATGTTAGTAAGCCAACAGCTTTCATAGATGGTAAACCTGTGAAATTCAAAATCTTATCTAACTCACTATTAAAATTAACATATTGCTACATTCAACAAGTACTTGAACTCGTTTTGGCATTCAGCTAAATCTTGACCTAAGACCAACTGGGTCACTAGCTCTTTTCTTGCTGCAATAGAGAGTCAGAATATAAATGTTCCTTATTCGTCCAAGTTACACAAACCTGACAATGAGAGTTGGGATCAAAGAAGACATTAAGGAAACTAATATATCAAGGCTACAGAGAAGGGCAGAAAGACACACAAAGAAAATAAATGCTTCCTTATTTTCCACCTATAAACTGAACAGAGGATTATCATGAGGGGGTTTTTTTTCCACCCTTTGGCTTTGGGGTACCATTTCATGTCAGATTTTGTTCAACAAGAAAAAGCACAAACTCATTTATAGTCAACATATGAACTTATTTTGCCTCCCCACTTCTTTCACACAAGACTGAGGTCCTACATTTTCCACAATTTTTCAGTTTATAAATGCACAACTAAGGCATGCAGAAAATACCAAACTAAATATTTTTGTACCTTGAACTGTATAACCTTCCCCACATTTTTGAATTCAGGAAGCACATCTTCATAGAAATCTAGGAACTGTTGATACATTTCCTCTTCACTGTATTCTAGACTTGCATCTGTGTCATAGTCATCTCTCTTACACTGTTCCATCCCAAAAGTAACAAACATTCCCCTGATAAGAAGGGTCTGACTGGAGCTTGGATAATGATGTTTCCGAGAACACCTACAATTAATAAGAAAAAGGTATTGAACCTGCTAAAAGACTAATCATGTATGACATGTTTCACTAGAACATTAAGTCTAGTGAAATATAAATGTTAGCAACATTTATTGCTTACTTTAAAGCCATTCTTGGAGCAATTGACATTTTCATTTTGGACTATTAAATATATATCTATGGGGTCCTACCCATTGATTTAAGTAACTCTCTAATTATTATTAGTCATTCTCAATTTTCTCCCTAATTCTTGTAGCATACACAGAAGCTTCAGACAAACAAAATCTTCTTTCACTTGTGATAGGAAATGGAGATAAAAGACATTATCTTTTATTTTTCTCATTTATCTGAAGTGCTGCCTTACATCCTGCCCATTTCCAAAGTCTTCAAGAATGCAAGTTTGTGATGACAGATTGGCCAGTCAAAAGGTATAAAAAGAACATATGGCTCATTTCAAATGCGTTCATTTAAACATGATGATTTTCCTTTCAGGATACAGGATTTATTTTTGTCTATAAAAAGTATCCTGAACTACATTTCGATTCATGCACCTCACCATTAAAAATGTCAGTTAATAGTGTATGGGTCAATTCCTTTTACTTTATGCAATATCCTGGCTCTTGTCTTCAGCCAGAAAAGACAAAGAAGAGCAGATCTGCATAAGTTCCAGAACAAACATTAATAGGAATTTCTTAGATGAATCATTCAAATATGGTATCTGGCCCATATTTCCATATTGTCTTGAAGCTGAGATCACCTGCCACACATATGGCAGAGGTCTAAAAAAAATATTGTCAACAGATTTTGCATGAGAATTTATTATCCTAAGGACTCAGCACTGAACCCTTTTCACTAAAGTATCCAAAGGCAAATAAAATTAGGAGTGTCAGATTATACCATTAAAAGAGATTTATTAAATAACCCTTCCGGCAAAACAGGAAAATTAACTGTTCAGGGCGCATTTTTCATTAACCAGGACACTAAAAACCTGAATTTATTGTTATTGAATAGCAATATAAAATTCTTGAAACTAATCAACTGAAATTCAATCTGATTATACCTTCAGATAAGGAACCTATGGATGAAAATTATTTCCAATTCTGCCAATAAATAAAAATGATATTTGCAGTACTCTTTAAAAAATGTGTTTTGATTTCAAACTTGTATGAGTTATCCCTGCTCATAGAATTATTTTTAATGGTTAGCAAGCTAAAAATTGACTTCATAGATATGTATTTATCAATATAAATGTGTCATACAAAGAGAAACAATTGTCATTTGATATTTACTAGTTATAATTAATTGGGAAGCATAAAGCTTTGGGGCTTTGAATAAAGTTTCAGATTTTAGCAGAAGTTTTGAGCTCTGAAAGGATGTGATTTTTATTTTCCTCATATCATGAATATTCCTATTCCAACTGAGTCAATTCTTTCTCCTTCCTAATGTTTGAGACCTTCACATGCAATGGGGATTTTTTTTTAAAAGTTTGCTAAATAATAGAATTAAACCATGGCCCTATCTTGTTCATATAAATTGCACAGTAACAGTAACTTTATACCCCACATTAATTTCATACACAAAATGAGCTCTTTCTTGAGCAAACTACCCATTCAATGATGTGCATGACCCCCCAAATCACAGCCTCCCATGTGTCTCCAGAAGTTGAAAGCTAATCTGGAGATGAACACAAAAGGGAGAGTGAAGAAGCTTGCTTATCAACTATTAAAACACTGCAATAGCTGCCATTCTATGCATCAAGAGATGTACAATATTAAAAGCGTTATTGTAAGTTAAAACATTTTTTATAAATTAACAACAAAGCAACAACAACATAACCAATATTCCTGGGCAAAAGGATGGTACACAATATGTCATAAGTTAATATGAATAAAAAGGAATTCTTGTGTGCCTATATTAAAATAAAACTGGTGGGTATTCATCTCAAGAGGGAATGTCTTTCAGTGAGTAAATTTCATCCTTAGGATATAAGCCAAAATGTTTAAACTATTAATTAACACTGTAGAAAAAAAATTCTAGTTATTTTAATTATTCAATTAGGATTGAATTACCTGTCCCCAAATCTGCAAGCTCCAGTTTTAATATAGAAAGGGCAATTAGCACGATCTTTCTCGGTGCCTATATTCTCTGGGGGCTCAGGATTGTGCCAAGTAGTTCCATTTTCCAGCTGTGTTTTTTTTTTCCAAAAACAATACCAGTATAATAAAAACAAAATAAAGTTTATAAATGCATTCTGATGAGTAAATTTACCTAATAAATCAGCTTTTCTATAAAAACATCATTAACTTTATTAAGAAAGGGAAAATAAAATTTCATCACTAAATTAAATTTCATTAGATTCAACACAGTTTTAAACAACAATCATCTCTAATGTTAGAAATCATATTTCTTGTTAGGTAAAAAGTTCTATGTCCCTGCTCTAAACATACCTGACTTTCAGCCTGATCCAACATCTTCTGCACAGCGTCCTACAAATGGTGCAAATACAGAACTAGTAAAAACTTTGAATCCTGACATCTGATTTGTTCAGTTAAGATCAAAATGCTCAGCTTTAAGTGTTGCTTTGCTTAGTTCAACTAAGAAAATGCCTACATATTATTCTAGTGTATTCATGCATGTACACACTCATACAACTTATATAGAGATAAAGCATTTAAATTATATTTTAAATAATTTCCTCCACATCTACTTGCTATCATTCATCAATAATGGTATTCCCTTTGCCAACAATTAAAACAGCCCAAAACATTAGAAAGGAAGTGTAGAAGATATTCTGATTTTTTTTAGTTTTGCAAACTAGCAACATAATTCTGCAATGAGTTAAATATATTATGAATTCTTTGAATCAATCTTTTGAATTTGGATGAGACTAGTTCCCTTTCTAATGCATATTATAGGGGACAAGTAGCAGAAATTCTGCAAATTATGTACCAGAAAAACTGATTTATACGTAACTCAATGGTATCTACAAGATCAAATATGCACAACTGCACTTGCTGCACTGATTGCTGGCACTTTTAACTAAGCAAATAATATCTTTAATGTCTGTATAGCAAAGCTTAGAGTTGTAGAATAAAGTTGGGTACTAGTATGTCAAAAATTGTTAAGTGTATTAAAAAAAACCTAAGCACTAAAGGTAATTAAGAATTTATCAACGGCTTCTGATTTCTCATTATATATCAGAACTTCAGTTGTAACCAGTGATACTCAACATCATTCAATTACATGATTCCTCAGTGATGATATTCACATTGAGTTCAATACTTGTTCACATTAATATCACGTTTATTTATTCCAGCTCAGTTTTTATACAACAATAGTAGGTCTAACTGTTCAGTGTTTGTGGGCATATTTGGATTATGTTGTGGGTGTTCAGGCAAATGGCCACTTGGATATGTTGCTCATTCACAAAAGAGCTGCCCGGGGAGACATAAGCTCCCTACCACACCAAGGTAAGCTCCCTACCACACCTTCCAGCACTTTTTACCTTTTGTGGCCACACTCTGAAACAGCACTAGGTGCAACCAGTCATCACTTTCATTTTCTAAGAAAGCTTATGAGACTTATTTGGGATCCAGGACATTTCTTGGAATTAAAATGAAATTGAAGGCAGATATGTATCTTTATAGCATCACAAGTTTTCTCTTTTTAAAAAATTAAAATACTTTATTCAATGTAAAAACTAGGTAAAACAAAAACTGTGAGAGACATCCAACGAAATTTCCATGGTGTATCCAGGTATCACACTGTGGCTCCTGATCCATAACTTTTCCTTTCTGTCTTAACCTCCTTTGAAGCCGTCAGCCTCCCTCTTAGTTCCCAAACACAGTAAAACCATAACTGGAAAGCATTTAGTCTATTATGTTGTTTATATATATAACCTGCTTCTAATTGGTGCACAAATATTTTCTTTTTAAGAAACAGTGAATAAAATACCATCAGCATTTAAAAAGCAATATATAAAAATAGCCCATTTTGCTAATTTAAATTAATGCTTTCTAGTCTGACAATTTTTATGAAGAATGCTGTACTTCAATTATTTCTATGACCCAAGCTCCTCTTTCTAAACATGTTTTAAATATCAGTATGACAAATCTCAACTTTTTGTCAAAGATGAGCAATAGACATATTCACTGTTTACTTTCAAAATTCTGTAAAGTATAACCTATAAAAAAACCTTTGTAATTTGCTTCTTCCCCCACTTAACAAGTTATAGAAAAAGATACGTCTTGATGAATAAGATGAGCTGTAACATCTTTAAGTGAAAAAAAGTTAAGGAATCGCAGCAGCATAATTCCATGTTAAGAACTTGAAACAAGATTAATCTTTATTTGCTATACCTTTAAAGTTTATGTAAGTGACATACAAGAATAATTTTCTTGCATTTACATCCTCTCAGCAAGAAGCCTACTTGCTTTTTTTAAGATCTACTGTAACAAAAGCCATGGAGTTTTTTCATTTGCCACTATAGGAATAGAGCTGGTAGCTTGGTCACAACCACTGACCAAGAAAAGAGGACTGCAAATTTATGGTTTTTCTTTCTTTCTGCCTCACAGAATGTATAATTGCCAGCTGTAGCAAGATGAAGCAAATGCACAAAAAGGATACTATATATATGAGAGATAAAGTTGGCTGTTATTCTATATTCTTTCCAATTTAACACTGAATTACAGTGCAAGCCAGTCCATTTACACTTAGAAGTATTAATTTAATAGTTTACATAATGCCTTAATTTAGAATTAGTAAGGCAGAGTCACAAGTGTACTATGTTTTGAACTCAAAAGAAACATGCCATTCAGGAAGTTCTGCCAAACCCCCATTGTGTAAAGCTGCAGTTTGGCTGAAACAAAGCTTAGGCTTTTGTTGGCCAAAACTAGCTAAAACAAAACCACAGGGAACTGGAGGGATTTGATGGAATGGTCAGTGCACACAGCCTCCTCTCTCCTCATTCAGTATATCCCACTAACCTGCCCAACCATTAACATTACCTGTATTCAGTCCCTACTTACCATCAGCTGCCATTGCTGTGCCTACACAACATATTCCACTGGTCCACCTGCCTCCCAATCAGCCTTTCCTGCTTTCCCCATCTTCTTTGGCTGCCATCACTGGTGTCTTATCTTCTCCCTTTGAAACATTACTACCCAGGAATCAGACTTTATCTTGGACAAAAATTAGTCATATGACTTCTTCCAAATGAGATTTCTATGAACAAACTGATTGGCACTTTCCCACTCAAATCTCTGTTTAAAAACCTGGTACCTGGCTGAAGTAACTTAGGACTCTTATGAGTACAGTGAGAGGATATGCATTGGATTTATCCTCCTAGAGCAGGAATCACCTCTCTTTCTCTCTTCATTTGTTGTTTTCGGTCTTCCTCCTCTTGTTCTTTCTGTTGTTGTTTTTTCCATTCTTCTTTTATTTTTTGCTAAAAAAAGAGCAAAACCTTTATTCATCTAGAAAATTCATTTCAAATTAATGTGTACAAATATTGCTGCATTGTATTAAATTAATTATTCTTTCCTTACATTTAATTAGGTATCTGGTTTTTAACCAATGAATCAATTTAAATTTATTTGATTTTTTTCTCAAAAATTTCAGTCTGGGTTATTTTTTTCACAGAGCTAGAGAAAAACAAAATAGCAAATCTAACAGCAACAATGAAAACATGACAGTCCACCCAATGTCTTACAAACAGCAGAAAGGAAAACAAAATGAAAGAAAATCGATGACCTGTTTTAAGGGCATATTTTTGAGCTACTGAGATTCCAGGTTCCTACAGTCTTCAGTAAACCTTACTCATTTGTAGTTCTTGGATTTCTTGTGAGTAGACTTAAATACTTCACAGAAGTTGCTTAAATTAATTGTCAGCTTATTCCATAGGCAAGGATGAGGCACAAAGCCAGCACAGAAGAAATCTAAATAGGTAAGATTATAAGAGGGGGAAAAAGAAAAGAGAAGCCATAACCAAAAACATTTGGCAACTCCGGTGATAAAAACAGCCCTACATAGAAAAAAAAACCCATCTAACATTCTTACATTTTGTTTTCCTTCCATTCTTTATAACAGAGTACCAGCCCCCTTCTTTTGGAAGGCTGGGTTGGTCTCCATTTGTTCTTTATTTTTCTACCTGTCAGATATGCTATCATGTTATTTTGTTTTGATTGCATGGAAATTCTCATAACTTTACAACATCCAGCGATTATGTTTGCTTTATTTAAAAAAGAAGATAAAAAGCATTATTGAAGAGAAAGCAGTGCAACAACATAACAAAATAATACATTTAATGATGTTGGAAACATAACTTTGGTGCCAAGTTTTTAATGTTTATGGTTTTAATAGGTATATGTGTTATGCTGTTTTTTTTAAATTGGTGTTGTTTTACTTACTGATTGGGAAACACCCAGAGTTTGATATAAGACGGGCAGCTATATAAATGTTTTAAATAAATAAAAATAAATACATTTAAGGGCTTCTCATAGAAACATAACTATAGTTTTACAAAAGAGCTTTAATAAAGACTGACCATATTTCATTGTAATCAACCATACTTAATTTATGTCTATAAGCAACTTAAATCACAAATAATATGAAAACTGCTCCCTTTGTTATTCATTTAGCAGTTCTTCCAAATAGAATGCTGCATTCTCAATATTAGTTCATGACAATTTGAGTGCTACTTTCTTTTTTGAAGTAAAGGCATTAACGATGTTTGAAGATCCAAAAGTTAATTCTAGGAGTCTATTTCACTGCTTCAAAAGGTACACTATACCTCTTCTTCCTCTTGACGCTTTCTGGCTGCCTCTTCTCTTTCCTTCCTGATCTTGAAAGCTTCTTGAGCCTTTTCTTCTCTGAGCAACCACTCTTCATGAAGCCTTTGCCTTCCAATATAATCAGGTTAACAATGAATCAAATAGTTTGTCTCATTTTGAACAATTCTAGCTGCTATTTCTTCTTTAAATTATAAAAATTAACATGTCAGCAACGAGGCTGCAATCCTGTTTAGGAAGTAACTTTTACTAAACCCTTGAGGCCTATCTCCAAGCAGATATGATTAAGACCAAGAAGGTGTATATAAGCTTTTATAAATAAAGTTTATCATAAAGACAAGTTCAGCAGCTTATATAATAAATTTTAGAGAGTAATCAATTAAAGATAGAGAAAATAAGAGAATGTTTTACATGTATTAAATTGTTTACACACTTTGCTATTTATAGTGCATTAAAAAGTATTTAGACCTCCTTCACTTTTGTCAAAGTTGTTATTCTGCACCCTGATTCTACAGTTGTTGAAATTCATTTTTTTCTCATTAATCTATACTCAGTACCCCATAATGACAAAGTGAAAACAGAATTTTAGAAATGTCTGTAAATTTATTAAAAAGAAAAAACTTAAATATCACATTGGCATAAGTATTCAGACCCTTTGCAACAACACTTGGAAATTAGTTCAGATGCCTCTCATTTCTCTTGATTGTTGCTGACATTGTTACTGATGTTTCTACATCTTGATTAGAGTTGACCTGTAGTAAGTTAGAATAGAATAGAACAGAGCTGGAAGGGACCTTAGAGGTCTTCTAGTCCAGCCCCCTGCTCAAGCAGGAGAACCTATACCATTTCAGACAAGTGACTAGTCTAGTCTCTTTTTAAAAATCTCCAGTGATGGAGCACCCACAATTTCTTAAGGCAAGCTGTTCCACTGGTTAATTGTCCTCACTGTTAGGAAGTTTCTCCTTAATTCCAGGTTGCTTCTCTCTTTGATCAGTTTCCAACCATTGTTTCTTGTCTTGCCGCTCTGGTGCATTGGAGAATAGGTTGATCCCCTCTTCTTTGTGGCAGCCCCTCAAATTAAATTGATTGGACATGATTTGGAAAGGCATACACCTCTCTATAGGATGCCTCACAGCTGACAGTGCATACTGTAGCAGAGCAAAATGCATGAGATCAAAGGAACTGCCTGCAGAGCTCAGAGACAGATTACAAGGCACAGATCTGGGGAAGGCTACAATAAAATTTCTGCTGCACTGAGGGTTTCTAAGAGCACAGTGTGCTCCATAAATCTCAAATGGAAGAAGTTTGGCACAACCAGGACTCTTCCAAGAGCTGGTTGCCAGGTCAAACTGAGCAATCGGGGAAGAACGGCCTTAGTAAGAGAGGTGACCAAGAACCCAATGGTCACTTTGACTGAGCTCCAGAGATTGTGTGTGGAGATGGGACAGAGTTCCAGAAGGACAACCATCACGGCAGCCCTCCAATGATCTGGGCTTTATGAGTGGCTAGACGGAAGCCTCTCCTCAATGCAAAACACATGAAAGCCTGCTTGGAGTTGCAAAAAAGTGCTTGAAGGACTCTCAGTGAGGAACAAGATTCTCTGATCTGATGAAACCAAGATTGAACTATTTGGCCTCAATTCTAAATATTACGTGTAGAGGAAACCAGGCACTGCTCATCACCTGCCCAATATGATCCCAACAGTGAAACGTGGTGGCAGCATCATGCTGTGGGAGTGTTTTTTAGCAGCAGGGACTGGGAGACTGTCAGGGTTGAGGGAAAGCTGAATGGAGCAAAGTACAAGGATATGCTCAATGAAAACCTGTTCCACAGTGCTCAGGACCCCAGATTGGGCCGAAGGTTCATTTTCCAACATGACAATGATCCTAAGCACACAGCCAGTGGCTTAGGGACAATTCTGTGAATGTTCTAAAATGGCCCAGCCAGAGCCCTAACTTGAACCCTACTGAATCTCTGTAGGGACTTGAAAATGGCTGTCCACTGACGATTGCCATCCAACCTGACTCAGTGTCAGAACCCATTTCCTTGTTGGGGGGGTGTTGGTTCTGTCCCTTTCCAGCTTCTTTCTCTGGGTTCTGTCATTCTCCTGAGGGGGAGGGGGGAGGCCCTATGGAATGCATTATTTCTCCTTTGTTTAGCTACAATGTATCCTCTCTGCCTTTTCTATCTGCTTGCTCTTTGAACTGTTTCCCCTTGATACCAACCTGAGGTGAGAAAGGAATGTGCCTCTGGCCATCTGGCTTATCTCTCACTGCGGAAGAGAAAGATGTGAAGACCCAACAATGTCTTCACAGGCATGGGAACAGACTCTGTTATCAGCTCCGTTCCCATAGCGGACTTAACACCTGGGGATTGGCTCGTTTGAACTGACCTATTGAACTGAACTATTGGGGTGGGATTTGCTTGATGCTCCTTTAACCTACTGATCTGAGCAGGAAACCCTCAGATCCTGCCTTCTATGCCTGCTGTCAGCTTCTCCTAATAAAAGTTCCTTTTGGAATGAAAGTGTTCCAAGAGTCCTGCTTTCTTGGGATGAGGTTTTGAAGTGGGTCCTTACATTAGGCAAGATCTGCAGTAACAGTCAGACCAAAAGAAAGACTCTTACCGGGGGACTGCGCAAATGATGTCTGAAATCAGCATGGAGAGGGAAGAACCTGCCCTGGGGGAGGGGAGTTTTCCCACCAGGCAGGCCCCAGCAAATACAGCTCTCAGTCCTCGAGCTCCTCGGATGAGGTGGTGGTCCATTCATGCCAAGACAAACCAAGGTGGTCAATGGGCATTGGCAAGAAGGAAGACTGGGAGAAGAAAACCAGGAAGGTGACCCTCAAATGTGGCAGTCACCAGCCGGGTTGGAAAGGCAAGATAGAGAGGTCGCTTCGTCTCAGTGAAGATGAGGACAACAGGCCATCCCGCTCCAACCAGTTCCTAGAGCAAGCTATTGACATGCTGAGAGTTGCCTTCGATTCTCTGAAGGAAGAGAATGCTGATCCATGCTGGGGCACTGCCAACCCAGGTTCAGCTGAGGGGACAGATGAAAGCGGGGTTGAGGCAGCAATCCCAGGAACTTCTGCCAGCACCATGGAAGCAGCAACTGTCGCTGCAGCCACCCCCGGCTGGGCTGTACCAGCGGACGGTGACAGACACCAACCCAGGAAATGAAAAGGACATCAAACCATCAGGAAATTCCCTCTGCTGGGGGTGAAGTATAGCAGAGAACCACATTGGTTGGGGTTTTTCTTGACTCAAGTCCTAAACTACATGGAAGAATATGGCCGAGAAATAACCAGCGACCGCGGCCCAATAAGGATTGTACAGATGGCCCTAGATGGCAAATGGGTGGTGGATCTCCACAATGCCGATGCTCCAGAGCTGCAAAATTTCAATCAATTCAATCAAACCACTATGAAGAGCGTGGAGGTTGTCAAGACGGGAAGAACTCCAATCCAGCCAGGAGGACCCTCTGATTCCTCAGAGGACAACTTGGAAGATGAACCCCTCGCAAGTGGACCCATCGTGCCTCTCACCAGAACCATAGAACTGTTTAGCCCAGGAATGCTGGAGAAAGTTGCACTTAGAGCCCTAATAGACTCCGGCTACACTCGCTGCCTCAACCCTAGTGGGGAATTTAGGGATTCCGGTGAGGAGGCTGAAGAAACCGATTTCGTTCGGTCAATTAGATGGGTCCATTGCAGGGGAGACACCAGCCACTCTTGCCACATTACCCGTCCAACTCACTATAGATGGGGATTTTGTTCCCTTCCAGGAAATGCCACCAGGTTAGGCAGGCCCATAGGACGGCATAAGCCTCCTTCTCCCAAACTGCCCACCTTTGCTCTGTCTCCGTGAGTTTCCTTGACGTGTACACATAGGGCAGAAGTTTCCCTTCATCGTTCTCCTGCATTAACACTGCCCCCATAGCTACATCACTAGCATCAGCTTGGATCACGAATGGTTTATCAGTATCAGGGTGTCTTAAGATTGGTTCTGCAGAAAATAATCTTTTCAGTCTTTCAAATGCGGTTTGACACTCTACCGTCCATTTTAAAGGTTGGTTGGGCTTCGTTCCCCCCCCCCAGTTTGTCTTTAGTAAGTTAGAAATCGGCAATGCAATTTGTGTGAAGGAAGGAATGAATTGGCGGTAAAAATTAGCAAATCTGAGGAAACTTTGCAATTGTTTCCTTGGGGTGGGGTTTGCTTGATGCTCCTTTAGACTATTGATCTGAGTGGGAAACCCTCAGATCCTGCCTTCTATGCCTGCTGTCAGCTTCTCCTAATAAAAGTTCCTTTTGGAATGAAAGTGTTCAAAGAGTCCTGCTTTCTTGGGATGAGGTTTTGAAGCGGGTCCTTACATTCAGCTTGAGAGGATTTGCAAGGAAGAATGGCAGAAAATCCCCCAAACCAGGTGTGCAAAGCTTGTCGCATCACACCCAAAAAGACTCTAGGCTGTAATTGTGGCCAAAGGAGCTTCAACAAAGTGCTAAGTGAAGGGTCTGAATACTTAAGTCAATATGATATTAAGTTTTTTCTTTTTAATAAATTTACAGACATTTCTAAAATTGTTTTTGTCATTATAGGGTACTGAGTGTTGATTAATGAAATTTTTTTTTTCAAGAACTGTAGAATCAGGCTGCAGAATAACAAAGGTGAAAAAAGTGAAGCGGGTCTGAATACTTTCTGAATGCACTGTACATATTTGTCTTCCAAGTTATATACCTAGATAGGTTAATGGCTTTAAGTAAGCATGCAGAAATTTGAGCTGCCTGTTTATAGGTTAAATCTGTTTATTCACCTTTCATCTTCAAGTTCTTTCTCTTCTTCATTTGATTCTTCTTCATAAATTGGTTCATCTTTATTTGCATTTTCTATAAAGAAAAAGAATAGATACACAATTCTGATTGCTCATCTTTGGTTAGAAGGCAGATTAGTGCATTCCACATTATTTAAATAAATATTAGTGCACTTCAGTTATAGGAAGTCAATTCTGTTTCTTATTCCTATAATATTTCTGACAATACAACTAATTACCAGGAAAGGTGGTAGGTTCTCCTATGTCTAGAAAAAGATGGACATTTTCTGGAGCTGCTTTAAATTAATTTACAGCAAATTATGCTCTATTGGAGATTGGAACAGCCAGATGGCTACTTGGGGATGCTAACTACATTAGAGTCACGTTCATCTTAAGAGTGCTATATTGGTTTTCAATAAACGTATGGATTCAGTTCAATGTGCTGGCTAGAACCTATAAAGCTCTGAATGGCATACCGCTGGGTTACATTGGGCACTGTTTTACCAAGCATGCCTGCTTGTTCCAAATATCTACAGTGGATCTAGTTTGCCTATTCCCAAGAAAAAGTAAGAGATGTATCAGCCACGTTCTCTCTATAATAGTCTCTTGACTGTAATACACTGCCATGAAAGGTATACACAGCTCTATCTTCCTCCTACTTCAGAAGGCCCTGAAAATAGCCTGTTCAATAAGTCTTTGACCATCACAAGTACCTATGAGGAACCATTTAATAATTGTATTGTTTTAATTTTTGTCTAAGCATCTAGGATTGCCAAGAGTCTAAGAAATACTGTTAAATAAAATACAAACAAATAAGTCCTTAAATAGGGGATTGGTCCAAATGGCCTGAATTCAATTAATTGTATGTTTCTGTAATCATTGATGCAACTAGAGTCCCAATCCTCACTGGAGGGACAGGCACTATAGTAACCTAAATAATACAATCACTTTATCATAATGAAAGAAATGTAGATTAGGATTTACTTTTATACCAAAACAACAGGATCTAATAATGTTAGTAAAGAGAATATTGTTCTTTTATGACATACCTTTCCAAAAAATATTCTAATGCTATTCCAAACATTCCTCTTCCCCAAGAAATACTTGGTTTTCTCAAGTCTACTTATATTTCAATTTTGTCCACGTCCAGATTGTATATAAGAACTCAAACTCTTAATAATTAACAATCTATTTTACTATTTAATCAAAAAAATTAGCAGTAACTTACTATTACTGCCTATATAGCCTATCTTTTGTAATCTCAAAGTTATTTGACACACACACACAAACATATAAAGTCTACATACTCCTGTAAAAAAAACAGGTTTTTGAGATGTAAAAAAATCTGACCAAAATAAACCACTTCAGAATTTTTTCCACTTTAATATAACATATTCACTTTACAATTCAATTGAAAAATAAACTGAAACCTTTTACAGGGAAATATACATATACATACATACATACATTCATCATTTTGAAACATACACATACATATATTCAAAATAGTGGAAATGGACAACTCCCTCTGATCACTAGAATACAGCTCACAGTTGGAAAAACAAATCTGTATTTCTTTATTTATATCAGAATACATTTTCTTTTACCTGAATCTCTCAGTCTTGCTAGAGCTTGTCTCCTTTTCTTCCGCTTCTCTTTCTTCAAAAGTGCTCTGTACCTTTTGTGGCTGAAGATTAAATAGTTTTTCTTTTATTTTGATAACTGATGAAATACTAAAATTCTCAGATCGTAAATATATAGTATTTTAAATAGATTATATTATAATTCTGTTTCTTTTACTAGGAATTAATTGAACTCAATGGAATTTCTGTGGAATCTGATTAATATCATTTCAGAAATAAAACTTACTTTTTTAGAATTTATTTCTGGTAAATGTATTCCATTCTTAATTATTAAAGTTATCAAATATTAAAATACCCAAGAAAAGTAAAAGAATGTAGACATAGATTTTAGCCTAGAATGTGTTTTGTTTTGGGCCCTTTTGCTAGTTTAGAAAGCTAGGGGCCAGCTCCCGCAGTAATTTTTTTTTTTTCAGATTCTTGTGGGAAGAGAAGAATATAGTCTGCATATATCTGGGGTTTTTTACTCAGCTGCCAGCACTTGAATTCTGAATTTGGATATAAGTTCAGAGTAAGTGATATGTAGATGTAATTTTTTTTCCTCTAAGCCAGGGGTGTCAAACTCGCAATGTCATGTGACGTGTTGCGACATATCACGACTTTTTTTCCATTGCCGGCAATGGAGTGGGTGTAGTTTCGCCATGACGCATCCAGCTCACGGGCCAGCAGTTTGACACCTCTGCTCTAAGCTGTTATTTCAAACCAGACCTGAAGTCTCACTTAGAATATATATTAGAAAGAGGTGAGAGGCTTAAAACTACAGATAGTCCTTGATTTACAACAGTTCATTTAGTGACCATTCGAAGTAACAACAGCATTTAGTGACCATTTGAAGTAACAACAGCACTGACATGACCCTTTTTCACATTTATAACCATTGCAGCATCCCAATGGTCATGTGATCAAAATTCAGATGCTTGGCTACTGACTCATATTTATGACTGTTGAAGTGTCCCAGAATCATGTGATCCCCCTCTGCAATCCCCTGACAAGCAAAGTCAATGGGGAAACCAGATTAACAATTGTATTACTAATTTAAAAACTGCAGTGATTCACTTAACAAATGTGGCAAGAAAGATCATAAAGTGGGACAAAACTCATTTAACAAATGTCTCACTTAGCAACAGAAATGTTGGGTTCAGTTGTGGTCATAAGTCAAGGACTATCTGTAATAGCAATGCAAAATTGACATTTATGGTGCCTAGTTATATAAGACTGATCATAGGCTCAAATAAAAACATAAGAAATTTAGCCTTGCTATTAGGATTTTCATTCAGATCAAACCCTTCCCATTCATCTCCATTGTAAACGTGCATTCCAAAAAAGGGTCCCAAGCAAACAACTGAATTCCCAATTTTCCAGCAAAACCACAGATACAGATGCCCAATTAAAAACAATACTGAAGAAACATGCTATAGTTCTATATTGATTGGCAAAAAATGTTTAATTAAATCTAGAAGCGACATCTCAAGAGAGAAGGACAGAGAGGCAATACTTAGATTCACACATATACCTTCAACGTAAACACTACTGTGGCTTAGATTTATTGCCTGGCTAGCTCACACAACTCACTAAATTAATGGTTGTTTTGCCAGAAGTGTGTCATCCAGACACAATGATGTGGAAAAAGTGATTATGTACATATGGCAATGTCATAATGCAATCCTGGTCCTTCAATAACTTGGCTCCAAATATTTAACACAATTATGCAAGTTCAGATGATTTTATTGTTCAGGTTGTTTTTTCAATTCTCTCCCCACCTGACCCCTGCCATCAAATAGCAATAAATCACTACGGTCCAGCTAGAGTATTCTTGTAGTAAGGAATTTTTCAAAGAAATACCTCCTCTCCAACTTAATTGAGCACCTAAACTAGTGCTATTTTTACCCTCATAAATCTGAATTTGTGGAAGGAGGGGCTTGTGGCAACTGTTAATGTCTGACTAGTATCCCACTGTAATCATTTTGGGAACTGAGATGCATTGGGAATTGAGATGTAGTGTTTTACAAAAATACTTATATTGTCCCAATTTTTAAAATCTGCTACTCTATTTTTCTGTAGAGGGACATATTAGTACTGAATAATGGAAACACAGAAGGCTTACTATTAATTTTTAGTCTATTATTCTCCATCCCTGACTGATGACATAATCCATTTATATCCCACATACACCTCTCCTTTTTTATTAACCACATTAGCCTGTCTGCAGCTTTCCCCATGCAGGCTGATATTCAAAGTTCACGTTATCTAAGCTACATTTTTATCCTCTGCGAGCCACTTGCTGCATTTCTCATGAAATCTTTGGCATTATAGTTTGCTAGCTGTCTCCTGCAAAATAAGTCCTTTTATTCTTACTTCGTTAACCGCCACGAATTCAGGATTACCAGTTCCTTAGTTTCTCATTGACAGAAAAGATTACTTCGATCACCCAAGCGCCAACAAGTGGCAACAGGGAGCTCAGGATAAGAAACGGTACTACCATGACATCATTCCCAAAACGAGACAAGACAACTCTGAAATCTAGCAACTAAACCAAAACACATAACTAACCCAGCCTTACCTCAATTTCACCATCCCCTCAACTGGCGGCGGCGGCGACAAGAACGTCGCCATATTACAGTCTCCAGGATCATCACGTGACGAGAGACAGTCGGACGTGACGCAATTTCTCTTCCGTAAAGGTGTTCCTTATGATTCTGGCAGAATCCTGAACAAAGCGTGGTGAATGGAGGGCTCGAGGAAGGAACTGAACGATAGAGATAGAAATAATAGACTGGAGTTATCAGGATCCTTGCGCACACTTCCGGTCTAAGTTCAAAATGAAAGTAAGAAGTTTTCGTATTTCAGAGCTCAATTTAACAATACAGATAGTCCTTGACTTACAACACTTCATTTAGTGACCATTCAAAGTTACAACAGCATTGAAAAAAGTGGCTGGCTTCCAGAAAAAGAAAGGTATTTGTAATCTCTACAAAGAAGGAAGGAATAAAGAAGCACATTAAAGAAAAAAAACTCTTTGTTTGGATGGCATTACATTGTTAATGTACATTTCATATCTTGTACATTGAAATGTAATGTTGGACCAGAAGAATTATGACATCTGAAGCGCTTTGCTTTCAGATTCCATCCAAGGCAGGCCACCTCCATTGCAGATTTGAGAGAGAGAGCAAAGTATATACAGATAGTCCTCAACGACCACAACTGATCCCAGAATTTATGTTCCTAAGTGAGAAATGTGTTGAGTTTTGTGCCATTTTACAACTTTTCTTGCTATATTTGTTAAATGAGTCACTGAAGTTGTTAAATTACTAACATGGTTGTTAAGTGAATCTGGCTTCTCCATTTTGCTTCAGTTCACAAAAGATGGTCACGTGACTCAAGGATACTGAAATCATCATAAATATGAACCAGTTGTCAAACATCCAAATGTAAATCATGTGATCATGGGGATGCTGCAACTGTCATAATGTCCCCAAAATTGGTTCAGCCTGGCACAGAAGCCAATCAGAGCCAGACATGAGATATGGACTTTTGCAAAAATTTTACTGAAGCATTCCAGCAAAAGGGTCCCAAACGCTAAGGGGCTGAGACCGTGAACAATAGTAAAGCATATCTTTTTACTGCAGTTTTCAAAAAATGGGGAAGTAAAATTTCTCCTTCATGGATTACTGCCTTGTCGTGGCAAAGGAGCTTGTGTGACTCAGTGAAGCTATGAGCTATGCCGTGCAGGGCCACCCAAGATGGACAGGTCTTAGCAGAGAGTTCGAGACAAAATGTAATCCACTGGAGAAGGAAATGGCAACCCACTCCAGTATCTTTGCCATGAAAACCCCATGGACAATACCAAAAGGCAAAAAGATATGACGCTGGAAGATGAGCCCCTCAGGTTGGAAGGTGTCCAATATGCTACTGGGGAAGAGCAGAGGGCTAGTACTAGTAGCACCACAAAGAGTGAAGCGACTGGGCCAAAGTTGAAAGGACACTCACCTGTGGATGCATCTGGTGGTGAAAGGAAAGTCCGATGCTATAAAGATATTTTCTCCATAGGAACCTGGAATGTAAGATCCACGAATCAAGGCAAGCTGGACCTGGTCAAACAAGAGATAACAAGACTGAACATCGACATCTTAGGAATCAGCGAATGAAAATGGACGGGAATGGGTGAATTTAATTCAGAGGACCATCAAGTATACTACTACGGGCAAGAATCCCTCAGAAGAAATGGAGTAGCCTTAATAGTCAATAAAAGAGTAGGAAAAGCAATATTGGGATACAATCCCCAAAATGACAGAATGATCTCAGTGCGAATCCAAGGCAAACCACTCAATATCACAATAGTCCAAGTCTATGCCCCAGCCACTGGTGCTGAAGAGGATGAGATTGACTGGTTCTATGAAGCCCTACAGCACCTTATAGAATCAACACCAAAAAATGATGTCCTTATCATAATGGGAGATTGGAATGCTAAAGTAGGAAGCCAAAAGATAACTGGAATAACAGGCAAGTTTGGCCTTGGACAGGGGTAGGAAACCTCGGCTCTTTTATGACTTATGGACTTCAACTCCCAGAATTCCTGAGTCAGCCTACCCCTGGCCTTGGAGTACAAAATGAAGCAGGGCACAGGATGATAGAATTTTGTCAAGAGAATACGATGGTCATAGCAAACACTCTTTTCCAACAACCCAAGAGATGGCTCTACACATGGACTTCACCAGATGGTCAATACAGAAATCAGATTGACCATGTGCTCTGCAGCCAACGATGGAGAAGCTCTATACAGTCAGTAAAAACAAGACCAGGAGCTGACTGTGGCTCAGACCATTTATTTATTTATTTATGAGACTTATATATCGCTTTAAGTGCAAGCACTCTCTAAGCGGTGTACACCAGTAAGCAATGTATATATATATTTACATTGCCCCCAACAATCTGGGTCCTCATTTTACCTACCCCGGAAGGATGGAAGGCTGAGTCAACCTTGAGCCGGTGAGATTTGAACCGCTGACCTGCTGAACACAGTCAGCTAAAGTGGCCTGCAGTACTGCACTCTAACTGCTGCGCCACCTCGGCTCTATCATGAGCTTCTCATTGCAAAATTTAGGCTTAAATTGAAGAAAGAGGGAAAAACACTAGGCCACTCAGGTATGAACTAAATCATATCCCTGATGAATATACAGTAGAGGTGACAAATAGATTTAAGGAATTAGATCTGATAGACAGAATGCCTGAAGAACTATGGACAGAGGTTTGCAACATTGTACAAGAGGTAGCAACTAAAACCATCCCAAAGAAAAAGAAATGCAAGAAAGCAAAATGGTGAGGAAGCTTTGCAAATAGCTGAGGAAAGAAGGGAAGCGAAAGGCAAGGGAGAAAGAGAAAGATACACTCAACTGAATGAAGAATTCCAGAGAATAGCTAGAAGAGATAAGAATGCCCTTTTAAATGAACAGTGCAAAGTGTTAGAGAATTTTAATTTCTCTATTGGTGAAAAATACATCAGAAGCTCTCACAGTTGACTGCATTTAGCTGATTCAAATAACTTTATATACAAATATTTACAATACCATTCTTCTTTACAGCAACATAGCTTAATGAAGATTTCTTACAGAGACAGACCAGAGACAAAACTTGAGACTGGAAATCCAGCTCCAAACTCAATACTCTTTTTGCACAGACTCAGTAGCACTTTCTTCCCATTAGCTGACTGAGTTACTACATGACTCTTCCTGTTCATGAATATTCCAACACTCCTCCCTTCATGACAGGAAGAGACATCAGACCTATTAACTTAATACATTCTTTAATCATGAAAAACTTTGTGCCAGTAACCTGGCCTTATACTGTATATCATTATTTGGCAATACCTTTTTCTTATATACCCACTTACAACCCACAGTTTTGGTTCCCTGTGGCAAAGTCACTGATTTAAATACTTCATGGTCTCCCATGGATTTCATCTCTTTATCCATGGCCTCCTTCCATCTTTCTTGTTCAGCTTTTGGTAATGCCAACACCTCTTTATAAGTTTTTGGCTCATACCACACATTGCAAACCTTTACCTTGCTGACAGAATACCTGTCAGGCGGAATTCCTTTATTACATCGCTCTGACCTATGAGGTATTAACTGCTCCTGTGTCTCAAGTCTTTCTGGCTTCATGTCTTATTCTGCCTCTCCTCCCTGAACATTGACATCTTCAATAATGATTTTTTCATCATTATATGCGTTATTTTCACTAAACAGATCACCGTCATTAAGTGAGACATACCCAGAATTTGCATTAATTCTGTCCCAATTTTGTTCTGCAAAATTAGCAGACCTTGAAATTATAATTCTTTTACTTCCATCGCTAAAGCGATATCCTTTTGACCCTGGCTCATAGCCCACAAACCTGAGCTTTCTTGCCTTTTGCTGTCCCTTTCTTCTGATTGCTTTTGGAATATGTACCCATGCAGTACTTCCAAAAATTCTCAAATGTGCCAGTGATGGCTTTCTCCCATATAGAATGGCATATGGAGTATTATTAATGGAGGAATTCCACAGCCTGTTAACTATATAATTAGCAGTCAATATGGCTTCTCCCCAGTATGACCTGCTCAAACCAGAATCCTCCAATAATGAATCTTTCATTGTTTGCAAAACACCATTCCTTCTTTCAGCTACACCGTTCTCTGCTGCTGTGTAAGGATTTGTACGTCTGTGTCTTATCCCCAACTGCCCCAACCATTGTTGGAATTTAGTTGACATAAATTCAGTACCTCTGTCAGTTTGCAACTGACACACTTGTCTGTACCTTCTCTCTACAAAACTTACCCACTGTTTGAATTGTTGTAGCACCTCTGTCTTTGCTCTAAGCAAATAGCAAAATGAATACCTGCTATAATCATCAACAATTACCAGTGCATATTTTGCTCCTCCCAAACTGGCTTGCATAGGTCCCACCAGATCTGCATGGACCAGCTCTAGAACTCTTTTTGTTTGTCTTGTGCTACATTTACTAATTGGGAATGCCTTTGACTTCGATGCTTTGCATACTGCACAGTCCAAATATGTTTTGCATCCCTTCAAATTTAGCCCTTCTGCAAACTCTTGCATTTGCTGCAAAACTTTAAAGCTTGCATGGCCAAGTCTTCTATGCAGAAGATGAACACATGAATCATGCTGTGCAACATTCTTAAATATATGGGAACATTGAACCTTTTATCCCTGCAATACATACAGATTATCTTCCTTTATGCCTTCTGCACAAATATTCTCATTCCTTTTGATGAGACATTTCCCATTTACAAAAATGACCTCAAAACCTTGTTTGTCTAAATTAGACACACTTAACAAATTATGTTCCATCTCAGGTACACAAAGCACATTGGTAAACTTTGATTCCAAATATGGAATTTTTACATCACCTTTTCCAATGACTTTTGCTTTCTGGCCATTTGCCAAAGCCACAGCTTCTTGTGCTACTGTAACAAACCTGCAAAATAATTCAGAGTCATTAACAATTGTTTGACTTGCCCTACTATCAATTAGCCACTTGTCTCTGTTGTTGCTATTGCAAACTTTTGCAACACCAAAATGTTCCTTTTGCAAATTAGTCTTCTTTGCATGCACAAATAATCGTTTGCTGCAAACAGTTCCTCTGCAAACAGTTCCTTTACAAATGTGTCTTTTTCTGCTGAGCAGCTCTCTGCTTGCAAAATCTCTCCTTTGTTACAGT